TCAGACACGACTGAAGTGACTTAGCACCAGCAGCAGCAGCAGGGCTCTGTGAAGCAGGCAGGTAGGGTAGGAAATCGATGTTCATGGCGAGACTAGAAGGCTGACTTGAGGTCATAATAGCTGAGAAAAAGAAGTGAATTCAAACTCGGGTCCCCTGACTCTCAATCCCCTGCTACTTTTACTGACTAACGAGTGGGAACTGTTGGTACTTAACATCCCCAGATGTAGAACAGATTGAATTTTAGTTTTAAGGAGGATTCAAGTGAAAAAATATATGTTGCAGAAAATGTGGCAGGCCCCACACTCATGGCATACTTTGCCAATCAGCCACAGAATTCTTTACTGCTTATCCTGGATTTGGCTTCAAAATCCTCTCAACTCGGTGCTCTGGGGAGCTAATACTAAAAGATCAGAGCAGACACATGACTTTAAACTTACTTTCATAGAAAAGTGGATTCATAGAGCTTATTCAAGGGAACTGGTGGGATCTGAGGTAGAAACTGCTAATGCTTATCAATACCCAATACCCAATACCCATGTCCACCTCTTTTCTCCTGGACACATCTTCCTGACTTGCTTGCACTTAGAGCCAGGTGATTTTGAGTTCTGGCCAATGCACCGTAAATAGAAGTGGGCAATCCATTTATTTCCCCTATCTTCTGAGTGATTCAGGAGATGCTGAAGGTTTTGAGGCCTGCTGAGTTATAAGATGGATGGAAGTTGGGTCTTTGAGTAGCTGGATTAAGGTCCTCGATACATATACCAACCTTCCCTAAACTTGGAACTACAATTTGAGAAATAAGGCTATTTGAGACCACGGTGACTTGAGAGCTATTTGTTCAGCAGTTCATCAACCCACACCAGTAAAGCCTGATTTCACTGACTATTCCCTTCTTGGAATCATCTTACAGTGTCATTCTTAGAGGCAATACTGGATGGGGAGAGGGGTCTCCTCACACATTTCTCCCATTCGAGTTCAAAAGACCTCATAAATGTAAAGGATAGTGGATTTGTTTTTCTCTTTCTGCTCCTCAGGACACCTTTCTTATTTGAAAGAAATCGCTAGTTGAGTGACCTTGGTGGGAACATGGGAGTCTAAGTGTTAGCCACTATCTCATTCCATCCCATGCAAATTAGAGCCTTGCCCTTGACAGAGATTTGTCCCACTGAATGTTGATATCTGGGACTTTAAATCTTGAGCAAATGAGGCAAAGCAGCAAGGACAGTTGAGAAATCAATCTCTGAATCCTGCTGGCTGAGGCCCTGCGCTTGCATTGCCTTAGTTCCTACCCATTTGCCAAGCTTAATTCCCCAAACAAAATAGATTCGGTGAAGTATGTAAATCTCCCCGATAAACTCTCTTTCTGCCTGTTAGCTAGAGTCCATTTCTACTGCTTGTTCTATGCATTCAGGTGTGAGGGCATGTACACATATGCACACAACACATAATATTCTAGCACCAATGGCAAGTGTGCTTTGCCAGGACAGTCTTTCCAGAACATAATTGTTTGCAACTTTCAAAGGATTCCATGATTCTTTACCTCTTTCAGAACAAACCCCACACATATGAACATGACATACAGAAGCGTTTTCCCTTGCTTGTTTATCCTCTAATCACTCCCCCTCTTCTGGAGGCTGTTCCCTGGGCTCACCATTTCTCCACAACTGTGCCTCCGGTGCACTGGGCCTCTTGTGCCTTTCCCTTTCTTGGTCTCTTGGCAAGTTCCTGCCTATCATTCATGTTTTAGCTCAAGGATGATACATGAAACAGTCCAGTGATTTTTCCTCTAATACTATGTGTCAGTTCAGTTCAGTCACTCAGTCATATTCAACTCTTTGCAACCCCATGGACTGCAGCATGCCAGGCTTTCCTGTCCATCACCAACTCCCAGAGCTAGCTCAAACTCATGTCCATCGAGTCAGTGATGCTATCCAACCATCTCATCCTCTATTGTCCACTTCTCCTCCTGCCTTCAATCTTTCCCAGCATCAAGGTCTTTTCCAATGAGTCAGCTCTTCACATTAGGTGGCCAAAGTATTGGAGTTTCAGCTTCAGCATCAGTCCTTCCAATGAATATTCAGGACTGATTTCCCTTAGGATTGACTGGTTTGATCTCCTTGCAGTCCAAGGGACTCTCAAGAATCTTCTCCAATATCACAGTTCAAAAGCATCAATTCTTCAGCACGCAGCTTTCTTTATAGTCCAATTCTCACATCCATACATGACTACTGGAAAAATCATAGCTTTGACTAGACGGACCTTTGTTGACAAAGTAATGTCTCTGCTTTGTAATATGCTGTCTAGGTTGGTCATAGCTTTTCTTCCAAGGAGCAGGCGTCTTTTAATTTCATGGCTGCAGTCACCATATGCAGTGATTTTGGAGCCCAAGAAAATAAAGTCTGTCACTGTGTCCATTGTTTCCCCATCTATTTGCCATGAAGTGATAGGACCAGACGCCATGATCTTAGTTTTTTGAATATTGCATTTTAAGCCAACTTTTTCACTTTTCATTTTCATCAAGAGGCTCTTTAGTTCTTCTTTGCTTTCTATACTATGTGTACTTGTTTTAAAAGCATAGCCCAAATTACACTTTATTGTTATTGTTCACAAGTTTGTCCTTCTTACTAAGTTACAAACTTCTCAGGACAGTGTCTGTCTAGTCATCTGTGTTTTAAATACCTAGGATACTTCTTGACACATAATAGATGCTCAATAGCTATTTGTTGACTAAATGAGTGAATGAACATGATTGATGTCTGTGAGGCTTTGACATTAAGTAGAAGATTCCTCCTAGAACCACTTCAATAAAGACTGTGCAATATTCCAGCCCCAAGCTATACAAAGGTGGTTTAGAAAAGAGACACCATCTATCGTGAAATAATTTTTAATGTTTTAAAATGTAACTAGTGTGCACAATACATGTTTAAGCAGTAGAAGAATGAAAATGTGTGTATGGTGTTTAGGAAAATTGACATTACAAAACAAGACCATGTTAAGAAAATTCTCAAAAGTAGATGTAAACATTTAAGTAAAAACCAAATAAACAACATGCTAAAGGACACGATTTAAAAATCCTAATAAATGTACTTGCTTAAATCCAGACTTGGGACATTGAGATTTACTTTGCCACTTAAAAAAAAAAAAAGCAGAATGCCCTTCATTTTAAATGCATTAAAAAAAATGTTTGCACATTGTTTTCCTGCTGACAGCTATAGTATAATCAAGTATATAAGAACACCAGCCAGATTCCAATCTGATGTAAAAAAGTATACCACGTGGTCTTCTAGTTAAATATACAGTTCACCAGGAAGGTGACAGAAAGTCACACTATACACTACCTTGCAGACCCTCTGGGCTACCGAGGCCCCAAAGTGAACAGTTGAAAACAACTTCAACTTAAGAGAAAATGCAAACAAAAATCTACAGCACCTTATGATTTCTAAGCATAGGAAGCAGGCAGAATGGACATACAGGAAGAGGGAGAAAATGGGTAAGACCAATGATGTGCTGTTCAGTAAATTCCACTTCTACATAGCTGCTCAAATGGACAGAATGGTGATTTATGTATTGGTCATTGGGAGAAAAAAGCTGATGTTCAACATTTCCTCAAACTTTGGCAGATCCCTCCAAAATGTAAAGATCAGAGATAAGCTGTCCACACAATCATTTCCCAGGCCTTCATCAAATCACTAGGGAGCACCATAATGGTAGAGGTCATGGTGAGGAAGAGGAGGTAAGGAAGGAAGAAGGACTGATCTTTTTCTTCCCACTTGCTCTTCTCCACCAGACCGCTAAGGTTCAAGGAGTCCTCAGAAAATCAAACCATCAAAAATGCGTTTTATGCAAATAAAGCATTTTTCAGTAGTGCTTCCCTCAACACTTCAGAAGCATGTAATCCGAAGACAAGCAGATTTCTCCAGGATCCTGAAGCAGTGCCAGCGTGGCAAAGTTTAATGCGCAAGAATGGCAAATGATGATGGTACTGAGAAGAGCTTCTTGGTCACGGTGGGGTAAGGATTAAATCCACAGAGAAGGCATTTGCTAGCACGTTATTTGTGTAAAGAAGAAAAAGAATCCAAAGTTCATCAGTTTCTTTTTCAGATGTGAATTTCACTGAGAATGGGGGTCCCATTTTATCAACTTCTTCTTACAAGTAAATTCAAGTTACCAATTCAAACCACTCCTGCCTTATGTAAAAATATTAAAATCTTATATAAACCTTACTAATGGCCTGAGAAATGCAAGGACATTCACGAAGAGATGTGTGCAAAAAGTGTTTCTCTCAGAGAGCAGCGTAAGTTGCAAGAAGAATCCACCCTCTAGAATGAGATTTTAGAAGGGGTTTGTCTCTATTTCCATTAAATCAGGGGAGGTTTTATCTAAAATTTGTATGTAGCATAAAAATGTATTTAATACATTTAAATTCTAAACAAATACTGACCATCGGTTTCACCAAATGTGATTAGGTATATTTGTAGAATTTGAGGACTTACTATGTAAGTTTCTATTACATATGAATAAAATTTAATTGTACATTTCAAATACAATTATCCTTACTTCACATCATTTATTTAGAATGTCAGTCCCCTTGGTTATGATCACAACTTTCAACCCTTTAAGAAGCTGTACCAAAGTTAAAAAAAAAAATCATTAGATTTGATATTAACAGGTGAGGAAATACAACTCCTCAAGGGTTGAATGAATAAGCCAGATATAAATGCTTAAGAAAACATTTACAAGTATTATATAGGTAATAGAATTAAATACAAATTGCTTTCTGTTCGTTAAAAAGTCTCTTTAGGACTCAAAAATGGTGCACATGTAGGGGCATTGTGATGTGCATGTCTCTGCAGTGCTGACATTACTGGGTTACACAACTTTGGGCTAACACTGCCTCACACAGGATCGAGGATGTGCCCCATCTGTAATGCCGCTGGTGGAAACAGACTGGGTACCTAAGTGCTGGGCTTCCAATCTCTTATCCAATGTCATTTCCTCTTTAGTTAGTAGATGAAGAAGCTTCTGCCTTCCCTGTGGCTTCCTCACCGAAAAGCAGCTTTCGGAGTATATTTGCATAAAATGGTCCGTACACTTGTTTGTTGAGATTCACGATATTTGCGTATTGCGAGCCTAGTGACTCCAGCTCTTGCTGAACGACAGCAAGGCCTCCTGGCACGGGAGGCATGCATCTTGGAGGGCTGGGCAGACAGAGCAGGCTTTTCATGTACAGCTGGATTCGTTTATCTGGGGGGAAAGAAGATATGTTTATCTGTCCTATTATTAAAGCACATTCTTTTTAAACATGAGAATAGTAATTGTGGTAGATGGATTGCAACAACATCGTCAATTCTTTACCCCCTCCCTATACTCATGCCTTTTCCAAGGTAGCCTGGCAGTTCTTCCCATCAGGGCTGGAGTCTGGGTGCCCAGGCCTTGGATCAGGGATGGCCTTCTGACCTGCTTTGGCCCATGCAGAATGTGGCTGGAGTGATGGTGTGTGAGTTCCATGCTCAAGAGGCATGGTTTGAATCTTCCCTTTCTGCCTACCACCACCATGTAAACAAGCGTGGGCCAGATGAGAACCCATGTCGAGGGAAGCCCAGCTGTTCCATCTTAGGCCATCCTAGACCAACCAGTAACCAACCAAATCCCAAGCACTTGAGACAGCCCAGGTGAGACCAGCAAAGCTAACTACCCATGCCGCTGCTTACCATAAATGCATGCACTCAGTCCAGCAAGACCAAATGAACTGCCTAGTTGCCCCACAGACTGGTGAGCAATGATAGATGGAGTCAGGGAAATCTGTTATGCCATAATAGCTAATAAAACATGCACAGCACATTTAGGGTGGAGTGGGGAATCTTTTATAAAAATTCAAATGTGCATAATTTTAGTTATATATCCTAAAGCTGAGTATGTAAACTGGGACTGCTAGTTTAGCCCAGACAGTGTTTTTCTAAAAAATAGAAGCTATCTAAAATGAGGGGCTTTCACATAGCAAATCAAATTTTTGGTTCTTCTTGAAAAATCTACAGATCTGGCAGACTTGGGAGCCCAAACTGCCACATGGCAAAGGTGAACATGCATCTGGGTTTTCTCAGGACAGTTGAAGTTGACACCTGCTGTCCCGGTCTTCTTAAAAAGAGCACTTTCAACAGTGTCCTGGGTTAGAGAATAAATTATATGATCACCCCCCATGTGGGCAAGAATCAGGAGGCACTGAAGAAGGACCCCCCCAACTGACACTGCAATCTTCTCCACTCTTCCTGCTTCAGTGCATCCGCTTTGAGAAGATGTCACAAATGCATGCAAATGCTTAAAAAGGGAAACTGCCGTGTCCTGGACAGATGGCACTGGACCAGCCAGACCTACTCCAGCCCAGGCTGCTCCAAGGACATTCTCTGGCTCTGGAAACAGAAATCTCACAAGTAAGAACATTTACTAAGGAAAATGAGTGAGTGAGTGAAGTTGCTTAGTCATGCCTCACTCTTTGCGACCCCATGGACTGTAATCCACCAGGCTCCTCCATCCATGGGATTTTCCAGGCAAGAATACTGGAGTGGGTTGCCATTTAAATACACTCATCTAATGCAGACAACTGTAATATTACTGAAATTCTTATATCCAAACACTTCTACGCCAAATCATACATTTCAGCCAGATCTGACCTAGAACTCAAAGTGCCCAGTGTCCCATGTCCATATCTTAGCCCAGACTATTCCCTGTCACTAGAATGCCCTTCCATCTCACTTCATCTCTGCCGAAGTCGAGAGCATCCACGCTGATACTAAAGTCACTTCCTTTCTGTGGCTTTCCTTACCATCTGTTGTACTCTCACCCCTTATTACTGTTATTTGAGAATTTCTCTCTCTCACTTCTCAGACAGTAGGCTTTCTGAGTGCTGGACCACATTTTTAGCCTTTATTTCCCTGGTCTGGCAGTCAGCAGGCAAGTCATAAATGTTGACTGTAGTGAAGTGAGAATGGAATGAAAAGGTCTATGAAGATAAACCCCAAACTGAAAACACGAAGAGCCAGAGAGGAATGGGGGCTGAAGAAGACCTCAGCCTTATCCATAATTTTTCAACAAGAGGAAATTATTCATGGAGGGATCACTTGTACAGTTGAAAATTACTTTTTAAAAATGTAGGTGGCTATTAGCATGCAAACAATTTCCACAGCAGGTAATCCATAGATTATTTTTATGGTATACATTTGAAAAAATTGGTTTGAAAGAAAACTTGCTTTCTAATTATCTTTTTTAAAGGCTAAGGACACAGTGGGACTTGTGATTTTATTGTAAATAAATAGCACATCAACTGAGAACAGAAGACAGACTGTGGGTACCATGGACAACAGAAGAGGAAAGCTAGGGCTAAGCTGGAGCCCTTCTTCTGTCCCAGGGATCCCTCTAAGGTCTCATGTATTCTAGCTCCTCTGTGGGCAGAGAATTCAGAGCAAATGGTCCACTAAACTTCCTGTTAGGCTGGCTGCTCAACTCTCATGAGCCCGGGTCTATTTTTGTTACAGTTATAGTCCAGACACTTTTCTGTGAGACTGTTTAAAGAATGCAAGTCTTTCAAAACTGTTATTATGCTGACAAGTAGTTCTGTCTCTTCTGTGGACGAGTCAGTTTTTAGGCCAAGACTAAAGTGATGGAAGCGTCTGTCCATTTAGGAGCAGCCAAACCCAGCCCGGGCCAAAGACATGCCCTTGGCTTCCGGAGCCTAGGGAGAGACCCTCAAGTGAGTCATGCAAGTTGCTAGGCAACAATACTTTGAACAAGGTTACAAAATACTTTCAATTTGCAAAAGAACAGGAAACTTGGAATAGGGAGGGCTGGGTGGAAAAAAGTGGCCTGACTGGGTTTTAAGAGGCCTCCTCGGGGTGGGGCATCTCCTGGCCCCCAGCTTCCCCACCTCTCTCTGGTGCTGCCAGTAGCTCCCTGAGCTAAAGCATGGGCACAGAGTATATCCGAGGCTCTGGCCAGCCTGCCAATGGGCAGCAGGGCTCCAGCTCTGACTGGGGTACCCATCAGAGCAGGGGAGAATGTGAGTCAGACAGGAAGATTCCCTACCCTGAGACCCGCTGGTTATATGGCCTCAGGTGAGAGATACTTGACTGCTCCAAGTCTCCATGCATTCATTCATCCACTCCACTGCTGATTGTAAAAAAAAAAAAAGCACAATGTGGGGGCTGCAACTTGAGTTTTATTTGGGGCAGTATTGGGGACTGCAGCCTAGGAGACAGCACCTCAGATATTTCTGAGAGACTGCTCTAAAGACATAGGGGAAAGGGACAGTATATATGTGATTTTGGTGAAGGGGGAATGCATGTAATCAAAAATACATTTTTATGAAAGGTTTCTGCTAGTCTCGTGAAGCTTCTGCTAGTCATGAGAAACAGCCATCACTATGAAGGATTTTCGTGTTTTTCCAGATATGAGGAGATACATGAATTGGGCTCATAAAATCAGCTCCGGAGAATATCTAACGACCTGAAGACCTATCCTGCCAGTTTTCCCCTGAGCATGGAGTGCTTCTTTTCTATTCTTTATCCTGAACTCCTTTCAGGGGGTGTTGGAGGTCAGCAGCTGCAGCAGCACATGATTTAACCCTTAGAGAGGTAGATGGCAAGTGCCAATCTGTGGTTGACACCTCAGATCTCTATTAAAGGTCATCTCTGGGCGCCCCCCTCCATGGTCTGGGGAAATCGTGATGAGCAAAGATACATCCCATCCTCCTCATGAGACCTCCTGGTATGAGGCAGAGATGGCTGACAGCCTGCCCCGCCTCCTCCGAGGAGCACCATGGCCCACGTGCTGGCTGTACAGCCAGAGATGACAGGCTGTGACATGCCTGTCAGCAGTGAAGGTCATGCAGGGCAGGGCTCAGCCACGGGCGGCTGAGGTTATGCTGTGTGTGTTACTGTCCTCACTGCCAACCCTCAAAGCCCACGTGCTGCACACCAGAGTTCTTAAGTGGCCTGGGTGGCTTAGATCACCAGCATCCCATGTCCCCGGGGATAAGGTTGAAAGACACCATTTAAGAATCTCAGCTAAACAATAACCAGTGTGTGTGTTCCCAGGGATGTCAGTGCGGTGCTTTGAAAACTTGCAGATTCCTCCTGGAATGTTTAGATATTCAAACTCCACACTCTTTCCTCCATCTGTTCCTCTCCCACTGCAGCTGACACTTGCTTTGTCCCCCACATGACCCTCATCCCCTTTTTATGGCCACAGCAGCCTGATTCTGTTGGGGGGGGGGAAACAATTGCTTCCCTAGTTTCAGATCAGGTGTTCAGGTAATGCTGACTCACCTTAAGTTTCTTCCACTCTGGCCACCAAAAATGGGATGTGACCACCAACTGGAGCTAATGGGATTCAATTCTGGGGTTATAGTTTGAGTTAAGAGGGGAGGGAAATTGCTTGATTTAAATATGGAAAGATGCAGGCTGGAGTGGAAGTCATCTTGCTATGTTGGGAAGAGACTATTTTAGAGACAGCCATCCCAGAGGAAGGCAGCGCTGAGGGGGAAACAGTGGGAAACAGTGCCAAGACATCATCTGAACTCTGATTACTGTACCGGCAGCCAATCCCCCCAACTGCTCTTTTCTGTGATATGAGCAAATATAGTCCCTTCCTGCTTAAGCCATTTTGTTGTTGTTTAGTCACTTAGTCAAGTCTGACTCTTTGCTACCCCATGGTCTGTACCCCATCAGGATCCTCTGTCCATGGGAATTCCCATGCAAGAATACTGGAGTAGATAGCCATTTTCTTCTCCAGGGAATCTGCAGAACCAGGGATCAAACCCAGGTCTCCTGCTTGGCAGGTGGATTCTTTACCACTGAGACACCTGGGAAGCCACTGTAGAGTTTTAAATTATCTGTCACAGGTAACAGAAAACCGTCCTGATACATTCTCCATTTCCCCAACTCACCAACACAATTTGATCCTGAGATATTCATTTTCTTAGCAATCAAGCAGAAAACAAAACGAAACAGAACACCACTATGCCTCTCAGTTCTATGGCCCTTTTAACTTTCAGTCTTTCTAAGCCTGACCAAGCAAGCGGCCTTCGGCTCGCACAGGTTAGCTTCCATCAGAGCATGTGTCTACTTTCTGTGAACATACCGCCATCTGGTTTGGATTGCTGTATTGATCTAGGAATTTTAAATGATGGCAGCATGATGTTATTTTCTTCATAAAACCCTATCAGCTGGGTAGTAAGGTCGAAGACCCTGAAACATCCCCCACTCCACTATATATACACACATGAGCAGCAGTGAGTCCCAAACATTTGAAAATATTAATGCTTTCTTCATGTTTTCAATATTTTTTCACCAAGAGAAGCAGGTAATCTGTTTAAGACTAAAATTTGACTGATATTTAACATCAGCCAAAGCCAGCATGGTAAAGCATATTGGCATTGAAGCAGAAACCAATAAAAGTATACGGGCTCACCAATTAAAGACCAGATAGGATTGTCCTCTTCTTCGATGCTTGAGAATTGGCCTACAAGGTTAGCTTGAACCTCAGCGTTTAAAGCTGGTAAACCTCTCTCCATTAGGGTCTTGTTAACCTCAACGCAAGTCTGAATGCCGATAGAGTTCAGGACTTCCTTCAAGTTAAAGGTCCTACAAAATATGAAACAATAATTCCACCAGGGACAACTTTTATTCAGCATGTTTTCGTTTTGTTTAAAATATATACCAGCTTATTTCAAATGTCTACCAATTTTCTCTTATATAGACAAAAATTACCTCTATTAGAATGAGCTTAGAAAATAGGAAACTCCTCCCAACCACCAAGCTTTACATGCATCAGACTTTTAAATGCTTAAAACCACTCAATTCTGTAGGAAATATGAAAAGCACAGACAGAAAAATGTGGTCCCTGAAAATAAATCTGCGACCCCATTTTCAGGCAGGGCTATCAGAAAGAGATAGAAAATGTTTGTTTAATTTGTAAAATAAACCCTCTGGCTTGAGTGGATTCAGTCAGATTTTGTTTTTACTGTGCTTAGAAAATAAGATAGAATCAATTTGTTTATCCATGCCTGAGCAGGAAACCTCTAACACCAACCAAAAACAAGAAATAAAGATATTCAGAGGCCAACACCATAAAGACAAATTACCTAAAACTCTTGACCTATCATGATGAAAGATAAGAGACTCTTTCCCACTGTTACTTTCAAGTAGCTGATCAGTAATCCCAAATATATACAGTCCAGAAAGATGTAAAAAGTAGTTAGTGGTGGTTATTTAATAGGTAAGGAAAAAGGTGTAATAGGAAGCAGCATTTGCTGTGTCCACACTATTGTGAATGATATTGAAAACTGCATCTCGCTATTCAGAAAGGATCTTTAACACAACCTTGTGCAAAATGGGAATTAAAGGATAAGAGAATGGGGGATGGTGGTGAGGGAATTAGACAAAACAACAAAACAATCAGATAGGCAGAACAACTATAAAGAAGATGACTTAACAACTAATTAGTTAGTAAGAGCTAACATCTATCAAGCACTTACCATGTGCCACACACCTGCACTAAATCCTACACATGAGTCATCTTCAGTTCAGTTCAGTTGTTCAGTTGTGTCCGACTCTTTGCGACCCCATGAACCGTGGCACGCCAGGCCTCCCTGTCCATCACCAACTCCCGGAATCTATCCAAACTCATGTCCATTGAGTCGGTGATGCCATCCAACCATCTCATCCTCTGTCGTCCCCTTCTCCTCCTGCCCTCAATCTTTCCCAGCATCAGGGTCTTTTCAAATGTCATCTTAAGTTGCCATAACTCTAAGGTAGGTATCTTTATATCCCTTCTTACAAGTGAGGCCATGAGACTCAGAGTGACTCAGGATCTTATTCAATGGTACATTACAAGTCAGTAGCACAGCTAGGATTTAAACCCTGGTTTGTTCAACCCAAAAGCCTTTCCTTTTAGTAACCATTTTGCTATGTGCTTCATGTGAATACTTGGGCAGTACTGGAGGGCTTCCCAGGTGCTCAGCGGTAAAGAATTTGCCTGCCAATACAAGAAATGCAGAGATGCAGGTTCAGTCCCTGGTTAGGAAGATCTTCTGGAGTAGAAAATGGCAACCTACTCCAGTAATCTTGCCTGGAGAATTCAATCGACAGAGGAGCCTGTTGGGCTATAGTCCACGGGGTTACAAAAAGTTGAACACAACTGAGCAGCTAACACTAAGCAGTATTTGGGGACTCACTAAAGGCTTAATAAATTAGAATTCCTGGGAAATAATGATTACCCAGTGTGGGGAAATGCTAAAAGCAGGGTTCTGCAAAACCAGAGCAGGTTTCTTTTCCTTACAGGTCTTGGGTCCTGGAATGTGAAAGAAAAGAGCCTGGCAGGTTAGCGCCAGGATCAGTAGAAAGGGCAGGGACTTGACAGTCAGGCTTGGGCTCGGGCCTTGGCTTGACCTTTTCTTGGTGTACAGTCCAAGGCAAATCCTATTCTCTCTGGGCTTTAGGTCAAAATGAGAACTCTGGATTGCCAGAACCACTTGGGCTAGTTTGGCTTTTAAGATTCTAGGATTTTATCAAGTCATCCATGTGCTCTCTGAATAATAAGCAGGAGGATGGGATGTTGGATGTATTAGGTGTAAAGTCCCTGAAAACACCTGAGAGGACGGTCAGCAAGAGGAGCTGACACATAGGAGACCCATGGAAACACCCAGTCATTGGCCAGGATTAGAAATTTTCTGACTTGGACAGGATTCCCAATAATGCAAAATTGAAATGGGATTCTAATATTCAATGATGGTTTGATACTGAGAAATGAATTTGGCAAAGACGAAACTTTCATTGACTTGTAAAACATCTCTGAAGGACAGAGATGTCACTACTTCTGTAGACTTCACAGAGGCTGGATCTGTGAAGCTGGTAAACATTTTGTTGCAGAAAAATGATGGAGTCAGAACAACTGAATCAGAAAGCCTCTCTGACAGACACTGAGCATGACAAATTTCTGGGTATTGTTTGTTTTTTCCACAGCACTGTCAAAGGAGAGCTTGTACACATATCCATCCTAAGTGGAAACACTACACTCACCCTGGCACCTGTTATGGAAAAGACCTCTCCCTACCAGTGAGGGACATCTAAGCCTTCAGAGATATGAAAAGAAACTCTAGGAAAAGAAGGCATGAGCTAAGCTTCTCTAAAGCACGGTCCTGAATACCACATCCAGATTTTCCAAGGTTATTCATGTTCTCTGAAACACATGCAGTGCTGGAATACAAGGGAGAGCAGATAAAAACGCTGGAACTCACTCTTTGTTCATGCCTTCCAGTAGAACAGCTGAAATCCTTTTTAGTCTGACTGCAAGCTCAGGTAGGCCATCTGTAAGAGCACCCACCATGTTGTTGGTGATAAGGGCCAGGCAGGCAATCATTTTCAGTTGATTCAGCTTTTCTGTCAGTTCCTGAAGACGTGCTCCATCTGTCATGAGTGTCTAGCATATTTATTTAAGATATAAAAATAGAAAAGGAAGCTCAGTACCATGAACATGTAAAATCAGGAGTGTTACATCCAAACCCCCATTTTTCATCCGATTCCAGTTAAGGTCATTAAACTGCATGCAACACAGACAGGCACTATTTGAACTTAAGAATTAGAGTATTGAAAACTTGAGGGAAGCCAAAGGGGGGAAAAAAATCACTCACCTCTGGTAATTCTTTTTTCTGATAATCCCACTGTAACAGTTTCAAGTAACTATTATTTAGCACCAATGTAGGACTCAGGCTTGGCTTGGAGTTGTTTTCAGCTCCAGGCGTTAAAGTAGCCTCAGAAAGAGAAAGTAACTCTTCATGGACAGATTCTTTTATCCACTCTGTGGTTTGATCAAGAGCACCTGCAAGGGAAAAGGCCACAGACTTGTCCTACGGCTGATAGACTCCTTCATTTGTGCGTTCCACACATGATGAATGGTAAGACGGCCACAATCCTCAAGGAGCCTGTGGTCCAGGTGGGCAGACAGTCACGTAAGCTCACAACTGCAGCAGAAGACAGGGAGTACTAGAAGGCGCAGTGGGGGTGGAGGGAGGAGAGGCTGTCTATGGTAGAGTCTAAGAGGAAGAACTCCATAAGTGATATTTCAAGACACGAGGCAGATAGAGGCAAGAGCTGTCACTCCAGGCTAGGAGAACAGACCACACAAAGAGACGGCGTAATGAGAAAGCATGGCAATTTGGATGCTACAAGCAAGTCTGTACTGCTGGTCCATAAAGAAGCAGGGAAGGGAGGAGAGAGTTGCAGCAGATAGCATCAGATGGACAGACAGGCCAGCTCATATATGACCTTGAGTCTTGTGCAGAAAAGTTATCTAGATTAAAAGCAGTGGTGATTAAAAGCAGTGGTGATTAAACATTTTGGGTTCCAGACCCCTTGGAGTGTCTTGATCAGTGTCTGATCGAGCTATGCCTTTCCCAACATGCTGATATGAACACTTTTTTTTTTTTTTTTTACTTCAGACCCAGTTCTAAGGTTTCCCCCTAGAAATAAATTGTTCTTTAGGCCACATTTCTTATTAAAAGTATGCATTTGATAGAATTTATAAGGTGTCAATTGCTTTAAAATGCAGACTGAACACAGGTGCAGATTAAAAAAACAAAAACAAAAAGCTCAGTGAATGAAATAAAGAATAGTCACCCTGAAATTCATCAGACCCAGCCCTTAAACAGGGGTAATTTATGAGCAGCTCCATTTGCTATACTAAAGCAACACCACCCCCAGAATTTCACAACTTTACTTCTCTTCAGTTGGCAAATGTTGTTCTTGGTTTTCCCAGTTTTGTTTATAAAGAAGTAAAAGACTTGCAGTCTTTAAAAGAGATCCAACAGAGAGAAAGACTGGAAACCATCACAGGTATAATTACAATGTGGCAATAATATGCATTTATACTACAAGTGCAATCATTTACAACTGACACATTTAAAAGCCCATTTAGTTATCTCAAACAAAAGCAACAGTGTAGCGCAGAGGTTCTCAATCCTGGCTGATGGTAGAATCAACTTAAAAAAAGAAAGATTTTGTGTGTTGGCTCTTGGAGATTTTGATTTAATCAGCCTGAGATGGGCTCAGGCATCTGTGTTTAAACACTCCAGGTGATCCTTATATGTAACCAGGCATGAGTACAATTGGTAAAGCAGAAAGAGCAAGAGTTTAGAGGCAAACAAGGATTTTCTCTGAGGGATCTGCTAAGATCTCAGGGGCTTCCAAAGTGGCTCACTGGTAAAGAAAATCCACCTGCCAATGCAGGAGCAGCAGGAGACATGGGTTCGATCTCTGAGTCGAGAAGATCTCCTGGAGGAGGAAATGGTAACCCACTCTAGTATTCTTGCTGGGAAATCCCATGGAAGAGGAGCCTTGCGGGCCCTAGTCCAGGGGTCCCAAAGAATTGGACACAACTCAGCACACATGCACGCTGATGAGATTTCACTCCCATAAGCAAGAAGATCAGCTGCTCTGAGTGGCTCCAAGAGCAAGATCAACCCTAGGAGACACTGGTACTTGGTTTTTCATCTGAAAAAAACCCTCTCCACTAATTTCTTCAAAGGCAACTGAGCACCAACTATACACTAGATACTGTACCTTGCTTTGGAAACTAATCAAACATTTTCCCAGTAGTACTTGTCACTTAGTAGCTTCTCAAAAAGCTTCTGCTCTCTATATCTGGCGTGAGACCCGGCAGGTTTCCTTTTTAATTCACTATCTCTGGAGTTAACCATGTGCTTAAGGACTGACTCAAATAGTCTCCTTCAGATTGGCAAATTGATTTGGTCCCTGACACCTGAAGATATCTTTCCCTTTTACTGATATACACAGTGCATGCAAATCAAACTAAAAGGCAAGGTGTTTTTTTGCAAACTTTCAGAAAGCAAGAGGAGGGAACACTTCCTACTGTACTTATTAGGCCAGTGCTGTGTGTGTGAGTGTGTGTTCAGATGCTCAGTCATGTCCAACTCTTTTGAAATTCCAGAATATTGAAAATAGGGGCTATCTAAAGGTTTGGACAATGCCAGGGACTCCCATTCATGTATTCTGCACCATTATTGAATGGTGGCTGTTCAGAATTGTAAAGACCGAGAGCTAGCCTGGCCCCTGTTTTCAATATTCTGGAAAATATTCACAACATCCCAATTTTCAGTTAGAAGAATGTAGTCTGCTTATCTGTGATGTCCACTCTTTTATGCCTGGCGACACCTCACCTTCCCTTTTGTTGGTACTGATTTTGAGAAATCATTTCCTTCACTCCATGCTTTTTGCGGATGTTAATTAGAGGCTCCATGACCAGGACCAGGCAACCTCCCTACCCAGCGGTTGGCCTGGCTGAGTCATACACCCATCAGACTCTTTCCTGGGACTCTGAATGATGATTACAGCGTTCAAGGATGGCCCGTGTTGAAGTGCACATTAACCAGCTGAGGACGCAGCTGGGAAATTCCCCTTGTTTTTTCCTCTCCAGATTCCTGATGCCCTCCTGATTTCTGGCCTTGAGCAGATTCAGGTAATTTTAGCTTTTCTGTGAACTGTCCTCTCCTTCCATTCACTTCCTTTTCTGCTAAAACAGCCAGTGAGTTTCTGTTGCCTCTGATATAACTCAGCTGATACAACACAAAATTGAAAAATCCAAAGAGAGGAACAAAGGCAGCAGCTTGGTTTACTCCTGGCTTGGCCAGGGGAGACCTGGTTTCCAGTCCCAGCTCTGCTATTTCTTGGCTGCGCGGCTCTGTCTTTGGGCAGGTCGCTGCTGAGCATCAGCTTGCTCATCTCTAAAATGTTCCATAAATATTTCCTGAATGCCTTGGGTGCCAGGCAAAAACAACCGTAATGCAATTTCATATATTTTTTGAAAAATATTTATGTCCCATGAGGATTTCTGAATCACATGAAATGAAGTTCCTGAGAACATTTTATCAGATATAAGAGATGATCTAAATAAATAAAACCTTTTCTTTCTGAGTATCTGAAAAATCACTTGTGGCCTGGGGGTTATGTGCCATTCTTTCCACAGATAATTTAGTTGTTGGATCTAATGTGCTTATTTTGTTAACATTTAAGACACGAACCCAATCACTGCATAAGGCTTTCTTGGGTGTATTTTAAATAGAGAGATGACATAAAATCTCTCTGTTGGCAAAATACAATCTTTTGGGAAGTCAACTAGGAAACCCAGAGTACTTCTAAATATTGATTTTCCAAATAATTATCTTATAAAAATTATGTACACACAAAAATCCAACACTTTTGTACTTCTGTGCAGTACTGTAAGGCTCTTATTTTGATAGCAGGGCACAGCGGCCGACTTTTGGCAGCGTGACTTGAGGATATAATTAACAGCTGACATACACCCTGCTTCCTGGACTCTTGATTTGTCTGGGAACATATTTAGAGCTGGGCAATAATGACCTATTTGCACAGCTGGATTCATTCTATTCTTAAATCTCTGGAAATATCCAAGTCAATGTGAAAGGAATGAGTGAAATACAAGTGACTAAGTCTGGATTTCAAGGAGAGAAACAAATGATTTGAGATGAACAAAACTGTAGTTCAACCCTACATTAAGGGATTTGTTCAAGATTACAGGCCCATCTTGACTTAAGACATGGAGACATTTGTACACATGTATATGAACACACAGGGCCACAAAGGAAACCAACAAGGGAGTCTCAGGAAAATGCTGCTAAGAACATGGTTATCATATTAATAGCTCAGGTTTCAGATCCAGGGTGGATGCAGGGTTCTATTTCCCATAATCCCTCTCTGCCTTTGAAACCAAAACAATGTAACCCTAAAGTCAAGAGAATTTTTGTTGCAGAAGGATCCTTAGACATCATCTAGTCATATCTGCCACTCAGTGCTAGAACTTTCGCTGCAAATACCCCCAATACAGTCGGTATACTGTTTGGAGACAGTCAGTTTTGCATAGTGGTTAAATGCATATGCTTTGGGGCAGAGACACACCTGAGCTATCCAGGCTCTCCCACCCACTAGCAGTCTCTTACTTTAACCTCAATTTCTTCCTTTATAAACAGTGGGTGATAACAGTCTCACAGGGTGATTTGTGAAGCTTGAATAAGCTAATAAATGTAAGGTGTTTGGCACATAATAAGGTCTTGGCACACGGTAAGTGCACAAACAAAATGTTAGCTAGCATGCGCTACTATGAGTGACAGGGAGTTCATTCTGAAGTTAAAAGAGCAGCCTCAGCTGCTAGGAAAGTCTAAATTGGCTGTTGGCTACTTCCCTCCCATGGGTCCTAGTCTGCCCTTCAGAACTTAACCAAAGCCCTGAATCACTAACCACAGGGCAGGCAGTGCTCGTGGCCCACCCAAGTCTCCCTGGTACCAGGCACTATGGGCCCAGCTTCACTGACTGTTCTCATGTCACCCTCCATGGCCCCTGCCCTCTTTCCTGGACAGGCTCCAGCCTGCTGGAGTTCCTTTAAAGGAGGCATGTGTTTGGCTCTGTATACATAAGGTTATCATATTGACAATCTTGACAGAAGAGCTCAGTCCACGAGAGGGAAGGTGGCATGGGGAGGGGGAATCACCTAACCCAGACTTAGACTGTGGTTGCAACTGAAGCCCAGAGGCTGCTGTCAAGGGTTTGCTAATAAGGGAAACAGCGAGCTAGCCTTTTGCCAGCTGCCCAACATTTGGCATCTTGGTTTCCTCACCTGTGGAATGAAGGGAATAACGGTACCTCCCCCACTGAGGAACTGTGAGGATTTAGTGAGGTAATACTTCCTCCTCCTCCCACTTCTGGTCTGGTTTTAATGCCCACTAGTCCACTGAAACTGCTCCCATCACAGATCCCAAGGAGCCTCATGCGGTCTCATACCACAATCAAGCCTTGGTCTTCATCTTTCTTGACCACTTAGCACTTGTCACAGCCGATCACTGAACGCTTTCTTCACTTGTTTTGCAGGACACCACCCTCTCCTGTCTTTCTTCCCCTCTCTGGCTACCCTTACACAGTCTCTGTTCTTGGATCCTTCTTCTCTTCTTAAGCTCTAGATGTGCAAGAGTCCCAGGTCAGGCCCACTCAGTATCTACACTCACGCTCTAGGTAAGGTCTCCCAGGATAACCCTGGGAGAAGAGCATGGAGTGGACAGGAGTGTGGAGTCAGACTTCTGGGCTGAGTCCCAGCTCTATAGCTCTCAAGTTGTATTATGGTGGCAAGTGATTGAGGCTCTCTATGTCTCAGTTTCCTCATCCATAAATAGGAAGTAATTTCCTAAAGTTTTTATAAATATTAAGTCAGTTAAAACAGGTAAAGTGTTTAGAATATGGTAAGCATTCTTTATGTGTCAGCTACTATCCAGTTCCATGGCTTTAGGTGTTCACTCCCAGTGCTCACCATTCCCCCAAACTCCAGTCTCATTCCTAAATCCTCCCTAGTATCTTCATATTGATGTCAAACAAGATCTCAAAGTTCACAGGTCCAAAAATAAACTCTGACTTCATCCCATCTCTCACCCTCCTTTCCTGGGTCTCTCCCATCTCACTAACAGGCATCACTATTCATCAAGTTGCTTAGAGTCATCTTCAACTCTTTTTTTCCCTCATCCAACTTGCAGCAAATCTTGTTATTCCATTTTCAAAATACAACCAGAACCTGATCTCTTCTCACTACCTTCTACCACCACCATTTGGACCATTTGCCATCTGTGATACCACCTAATTGGTGTCCCTGTTTCCCTTCTTGCACTCATATGATTTATTCTCTACCTAGGAGCCAGAGTATGTTTTAAAAATAAAAAGCAGATACTGCTTCCCTGTTCAAGCTCTCCAATGACTCCCCATCACATTTGGACTGAAATCCAAATTCCTCTTATTTCCTCACAAGGCTTCTATAGGACCTGCCTTGGTCTACTACTTGGCCTCAACTGTAACCACTCTTTCCTGCCTACTCTACTCCAGCCTCACTGTCAGCCCTGTGTTTGTGCAAAACACAAGCAAGGTTCTACTGCAAGGCCTTTGTACTTGCAGCTCTCTCTAGCTGGAATGTTCTTCCCTCACATCTTCACATGGCCCTTCCTCATTCCTTTGCAAACTCTGCTCAAATGTTACTTCTCCGAGAGGCCTCTCAGTCCACCTCACCTAAAAAACTCACCTCTTATCCTCACTCCTGCCCCATTACTGTCTGTTTCTTTATCCTACTTTTATTCATAGCACTAAATAACACATCTGACCATATATGCTTGTTTTTTTGTTATGCCTACTCAGCCATCTCCTTGGGAGCTGCAACTTAATTTTTTTCACTGTCATATCTACAGCACCCAAGATGTATCTGGGACACAGCAGGTGGTTAATAAATGTTTCTTTTTTTTTTTTTAATGCATAAAGAATAGTGCTTAGTGCAGTTCCTGGAGTCAGAGTTAAAGCTGTGAGTTTGTGATATTAATTTTAGAAGTCAAAAAAAGGTTGAACAGAAATGCCCAAAGTCTTTATAAATACTATTTAAGATATCAAAAACCAAAATGCCACATTTCATCCCACTTCAGTATATATCCACACATATTTTACTTACTTGAAGTTTCTTCTAAAATTTCTTGGAACTTGGTTCTCTCATAATCTATCAACTGGCGCTGAAGATGTGGTCTGAGACTCCGAATTGTAAAATTCACCATGTCCATTTTCATGAGGTCCAGGACATGAAATATTTGTCTGAAAATTTCATAGTTAAAATAGTTAGACAGGTTATCAAGAAAATCATCTGAAATTCATTAACTATTATTTATTTTACAGGCTGGAAAAGATAAACATCTCCGAAATGGTTTTGAAATTCCAATCACTTTGACAAGGACACTTTTCATAAAAGGCATTACACATGCACTCCAAATGTATTCTTCCAGAGATCTCAAGAGTATTTGCTTTAGCAAATATACTTCCAACTGATTCATTACATTCAGCCATAGACTGACAGACACTAAGAAGTATAAACAATGAATCTTAACAATGAGACAAAAAGAGATTCAAGAAGGAATTTTCTTTTGAAAGTCCCTGAAATTTTAAGGAGTCTGAATATAGTATACCCTGTTTCTATCCCTAAGGAAATAAGAAAAAAAGAAAAAAGAAAAGGACAGGGCAGTGAAGCACCAGGGAAAACACTGCCTTTCAGAGTTGGGTAGCCCTGTATTCAATAACATCTTTACAGCTGACCAGCTCTGTGGCCAGGAACAAGTTACTCCATCTCTCTGAGCCTTAGTTTCCTCACCTGTGAAAGAAACGGACAAGATCAACCTTGGAGAGATGTTGTGAAGAGTCAATGAGATAGTGTATTAGAAATGCAGGTACAGTACCAACCACTAGGTGCTCAATATATGAGCAAGATGAACACCACAGATTTGATTATCACACATGGGTAATAAGATCATTCAAAGCAAGGATTCCACAGCTGAAGAATCTCAACCTGCCAGAGCTGAGCATAACTCTTAAGGATATTTACAACCCATTTTACAGATGAAAAAAGTGTGACTTGAGAAATTGTCAACTTTCCCAAAGTCAGAAAATAAGGAACTTACTATATGCAAACCAGTTTCCTCCCCTTCCCTTTCCAATACTATTACATGAAATTTAATTCTCTATGTGGCTGTATTCACACAACAAAACAAAAAAAAAAAGAATTTCCCTCAATGGCAAAAAGTACTGTAGACTTCTCTTTCCTCTGGGATCACAAAGAAGTTGTTGCCTACACAGCCAAACTAGAGTCTTTATGATCTTACTGTGTACATCACTTCCTTAAGGAAGCTGCAGCAGTTAGCTAGCCAACCACCAAAGGTCTGTTTCCCTTTCTGCAGTGTGGATGTGTGGCTGGGAAATGTGATTCCACAGTGCAACCACATTGCCTAGACCCACTTCAGTCTACAGGGGACCACAGGACTAGGCATAGTCAGTGGAATATGTCACTTCTGGGCCGAGGGGGTTAAACGTTTAATATGCCTTCCTCAGGGCTTCCCGGGTGGCTCAGTGGTAAGAAAAAAATCTGCCTGCCAATGCAGGAGATGTGGGTTCAACCCTTGGGTTAGGAAGATCACCTAGAGAAGGGAATGGCTACCTACTCTAGTAATCTTGCCTGGAAAATCCCATGGACAGAAGAGCTTGGTGGGCTACAGCTCATGGGGCTGCAGAAGAGTCAGACACCACTGAGGGACTAAACAGCAGCAGCATGCCTTCCTCATGATCTCTTCCCCATTCACCAGCTGGATGTAAAGGACTCCGAAGACCTGGGTGGAGCCGAGGAGAGAAGGAGACTGGGTCCCTGAATGGCGCTTGGAAGGCTGCCTGACCAAGAAGCCCTGACTCAGACTGTGGTGTGAGTGAGAAACAAACAGTGGTTAAATCACTGAGAATTCAAGGTTTACAAGTCAAAGCAGCTACCAATACCCTACCTGATCAAGGCTTCCTGTATCCTTGAGGAGATTAGGTGCCTCTGCAGGGGCCCTATTAATCCTCTCTACTTCCCCTCCCATAGCACTTTATCACAACTGTAATTCCTTGTTCAGGGTTGTCTCCCCATTAAATTGTATACTCCCTGGGGTCAGAGATCATATCTGCCCCTTTCATCACTGCATCTCTAGGGCCCAGCGCTGCCAACTAACACCCTTGTTTGCTCATTCTACGTGAAAGTTCCATGCACACAATAAATGATTGACTGACCCCTTGCTTAGTCAGTTTTTTCCCTAGGGTGAAGGGTTCCTTTGGGAGACCAGTTACTACTCTGTGCCCCTCAATTCCCACATTTCCCTTCTGAATGCACTCAAAGGTACTTTCAGGAAATGTAAGCAGCCAGCACTAACCTCAGCACCTCCACGATGTTGTTGGTAGCCTTCAACTCCCGGATGTCATCATCCCGCACCGGGGCGCACAGCTTTCCCATGGTACTGATGACATAGTTGGCCAGGCCTTGGATGTCAACAGCACTGTGCTCAGCCTGCTGCCTAATGAGGTCTGTGTCTAAAACTTCACAAATCTGGTTGCGAAGCCTGTTGCCACCAGGAGTCAGGAAAGAGAGGAGAATCTGCACAGGGATAATGAATAGCATCATCACATGAAGAAAGGCTGTCATTTTTAAAATTTCATTATCTAGACGACCAAGCTCCCTGCCCTCAGTATGTGAATGCCCTGGATATCATGGAAGTTTGTCCCGACTCGGTGGTGGACCAGAGAAGCATGACAGGGTCCTGTCCTAAAAAGAAAGCTCTATCTTCTAAATAAAAGCCTTCCCTTCCCTCCTGTGGGAAGTTACTAACACCATCATAATGAAACTAACTGGCAAGGAAGCAATAGTATTGAAAGAACTTTAAAAAGTTTACAGAGAAATCATGTAAAGAAATAAAAAGTTGCAGATCAGGGATCCAAAAGAACCTTTTAAAGAAGGGCAAATAGTAACACCCCCATGGGCCCCATTGGTATAATACAGTATATTTATATGTGAAATATATATTATGGGCTTCCCAGGTGGCACAAGTGGTAAAGAACTTGCCTGCCAATGCAGGAGACGTAAGAGACAGGGATTCGATCCCTGGGTTGGAAAGATCCCTGGGGGGAGGCATGGCAACTCACTCCAGTACTCTTGCCTGGATAATCTCATGGACAGAGGAGCCTGGTGGTCTGCAGTCCATAACGTTGCAGAGTTGGACACAACTAAAGCAACTTACATATTATGTGAGCAACCTATTCACAACACAGCAGACACTGTACTTATACACACGGCATGTGGTTAGGAGCACAAGCTCTGAGCAGGAGTGGCTCAGTTCAAATACCTTCTGCCCCTCAAAGCTGTGTGACCTTGGATGAGTCAGAGAACTGTTTCTTTATACAAAATAGTAACAGGCATAACTACCTCACAGCATTATGGTAAGGAATAAATGAATACTCTAGTGCTTAGCACAGAGCAAGTGTCTTGTGAAATGTTAGCCATAACTGTCATCTGATTTAATTCTTGCAACTACACAGGAGACTTGGGCTTCCCTTGTGTCTCAGATGGTAAAGACTCTGCCTGCAATGCAAGAAACCTGAGTTCGATCCCTGGGTTGGGAAGATCCCCTGGAGAAGGGAAAGGTTACCCACTCCAGTATTCTGGCCTAGAAAATTCCATGGGCTGTATAGTTCATGGGGTCGCAAAGAGCTGGACACAACTGAGCGACTTTCACTTCACTCACTCAGGAGACTGAGACTCAGGAGAAAGCAGAAGCATATCACTAAAGCAGACCTCTCTAACCTGGGCTCTGTGCTCTGAAGCACCACAGCCACCACCTACCAGCTAAGTGCTGGCCTGTGTTCCGGTCACTGCCCTGTCTCCACTCTCCTCTCAGAGGTGCAGGCAAAAACTCTTCCAGTGATTGAACTGGCTCAGTGTTTCAAAAAGAGCCTCCAGTACTCTTTAGAGAACAGAAAAACAGCCTTTGGGGCGGGGTGGGGGCAGAGGATTCCTAATGGATACAGACAACATCAACTTGCCTCTCTGATTTCTTCAAACAGTTTGATGGCGTGTTCATACTCAGGAGGCTCTGCATTCAGTTCTGATTCCAAGACATCCCAGAAGGCCTGATGGACAATGTGCCTCACTCGACCGGCCAAGCTATGGGAATGAAATGAATCATTTTTTTTTTACATAAGCACTATTTTTCTTAATTATAAAAGAAATATGCTCATTGTAGAAATCTTAGGAAATGCAAAAAAAACAGAATAAAAACTGCTCATAATTCTATTATTAATCTTTTGACATATTTGACATATTTCAATGAATGGTCTTAATACAATTTTTTTAGTAGTGGTCTGTACAATATTATATACTTATTTCATTTAATATTCTGTCTTAAGTGTCTCCCCTAAATTTTTTAAGTGCTTCCTTCCTATAGCTTTCGACAAGTTCATAAAATTCTGTCCTAGGACTTCCCTGGTGGCACAGTGGATGAGAATCTGCCTGTCAATGCAGCAGACACAGGTTTGATCCCTGGTCTGGGAAGATTCCACATGCCATGGAGCAACTAAGCCTGGAGCCACAACGACTGAACTTGTGTGCCACAACTACTGAAGCCCGCATCTAGAGCCTGTGCTCCACAACAAGAGAAGCCACAGCAATGAGAAGCCCATGCACTGCAACTAGAGAAAGCCCATGTAAAAGCAACACCAGATGCAGCCAAAAATAAAAATAAATAAAATTCTGTACTAAGGAGATACCATATTTCACTCTTCCACCCTTCTTCTTTTTTTTTTTTTTTTTAAATATTTTGGCCACACTGCACAGCATGTGGGATGTTAATTCCCAGACCAGGGATCAAACCTGTGACCCCTGCATTGGCAGCAGAATCTCAACCACCGCACCACCAGGGAAGTTCCTGCAGCTAGTCTTCTACACAGATATTCAGACCTGGTCTAGGTTTTTGGGATGAGTTGGCCAAGTTGTTCTTTCTGTAATAGCGGACATTTTGTGGCATGGAACAGAACAGATTGGCCCCAAGGAGACATGCATTTGAATGCCTGCCAGCTCCAGCTTAGATGTCCCATTTAAAGTTGGCCAGACCACATTTCTGAAATAGGAGCCTTCCTAGAAAAGCTTCACAATAGAATAGGTGGCCACCTTGCTTTATCTGGTCAATGTCAATACCCCAAAATAGGTGCATGTTAAAGTACACATCCCTACTGAACTCCTATACCATTTTGCAACTGCTTTTAGAAAAGCACTTATTTCCCTGAACTATAATTTACTTTAAGTTTCTCTCCTTCACAGGGCTATGCACCTCTCTCAGATAGAGGCCACTTCTTCTTCTAGGTACCTGCCATCATACCTAGCATAGTGCTTGGTATTTACTGAAGATTTACTGAATGCATGGTGAATGAATTGATAATTTGACAGTTAAGCATATCACTTAAATTTTCTTTTTAAAGCTCAAATAGCTAAAATACACAATAATGTTGGAAATAAAAACTAGCTTTCTGAGAAGCATGACTTAAAACTGTTTTTGTAACTGCAAATACTATACTCTACTCAGCCACTTTAAATGTTAAAACTTAGTCTAGTTGCCTGAGTAGATTTATTCAACATAAATGCCATTCCCAATGTCTGAAACGCTCTCAAGCAATTATAGAACAATTAGAAAGGCAAACATTACAGGAATGGACTTTTGCTCTTGACTTTACAAGCCTCAGGTACTTGGCTTGAATGGACCAATCAGGAATGAGCTAAAACAACTTTATAGTTCCTTGAAGGATATCAGGGTTTAAGTTCTCCAAACTTTTTAGATTTCTAATTTGGGGTGGGTAGTGATGAGATCAATCAAATCATTTATAAGCTTTCCTATGCAGTATCAGAAATCTGACTTATTTTATCAAGTGTTTCTCCTCAAGAAAATACTTGGTAAAATATGAGTCAGCCATTTTTTAAACAGTAAAGGAGACAGTGCTTTGAGAGCGATTGCCGGTCTCCTCATTTGTCACAAGTAATAAAGCATGATGCTTTGATGAAAAAAAAATAGTAACAACTTGTCCACTGTGGAGGATCATCTGAAAAGTCAACAGCTAATGCTATACTATTTCACTTTTAAGCAAAGGCAATGTGTCCTAACCCTGTCTGTTGTTTCTCTTGCTCATATTTTCTAGCCATGGCAGAAAATGAAGAGAAGGGGAATTCCTATCTTCCACAGTATCAAAGTACTCATGTGCAAGGCACTTACATGCCCAGGAGCAGGCATTCAGGGTGAATATTGTGGAGAATGTGAGGCTCAGATACAGTCTCAGCAGAGCCAGGATTCAAACCCCAAGGTCTGTCTGATCATAAAGGGTCCTCATTCAGTTTGTATTTGCAACTTATGAATTTAAAGCACAAATATTCCCAATTTGTCTTTTGCTGCACTTCATAAAACATACTCATTTTAAATTTAGAAATTCATTTTTATTAGTCAATAAATGTTTATTCAAAATTCAATATGTGGTAGGCCCTGTTTCAGGCGCTGGGGTGATTCGAAAAGAGTCTGCTCTCAAAAAGCTTATATGTTGGCAGAAACAGAAAGACAAAAAACACATTGACAATGAGTAAGACAATTTCAGAGGCATGAGGAAGGCAGAGGAAGACAGTGTGGTCCACAGTGATGTAGAGGGTGCCCACTTGATGGGGTGGTAGAAGAAAGCTTGTCTAAGACAGTGGGTGACCTTAGAGCCGAGACACAAATGGGGAAGAGAAAGCAGCTGGTAAAGACCTATGGGAAAAACATTAAAAAGGAAGATGAAAAAAATCCTTGGGATAGGATCAAGCTGGTGTGGCACAGGATCAGCAAGGAAGCCAGTGTGGCTGAAGCAAGCAGGAGGGAAGGAATAAGAGGCACAGCTGGTGAAGGAGGGCCTTGATAGTCATACTATAGAGTTGGAATGTTTATTCTAAGTGTGATAGAACCATTGAAGGGTTTTAAGCAAAATCATGACTTAATCTGATTTACCCTTTAGAATGATTACTGTGGCTGCCTGTGCGTGTGAAGGATGGACTGCCAGGAGCTAAGGATGACGACTGGGCAACCAGCTAGGATAGAAAGAGTCCAGGTCAGAGACGATGGTGACCTGGCCTAGGGGTAGAGTAGCAGAGCTGGTAAAAAGGATCGTAGTGAAACGCAGTCAACATAGAAAACCAAACAGATACACCTACTTTGGCCAGTAATCTTAAAAAGTATTCATGATTATTATGAACAACATCCCCAGAAGGAGGACTATGATCCATATTTTTAAAAAGGAAAATTACTATGTTTATTCTTTTCCTGCTTTAAAACAAAAACTTGCTGAATGGAATCAAATATTATATGTTGTCTTCACTGATGGAGAGAATGCCTCCTGATTTATAAATGGCACTGTGAGCTTTCAGATTCAGTGTGGTTATCCATGGGCCAATTTTGCCTCTAAAGCTTATTTACCTGCAGTCATGGCTGCAAGTCTTTTCTTCTCTTTGTCCCAGGGGACTTGTGAATGACCAAAACTGGAAAGACTGAGGTGGGGTATAAGGACATGGCTCTAATTAGAGATCCCTTGGGCATGATGTTAACCAGGGGTACCTATGCTGTCGGGATTCCTACCTCCAGAGACTTCTAGATAGACTCATCATTCTGGCAACTCAGTTGCATTCCTTTGTCTTTTACAATCTGAATATCAGTTTTTAATAAGTCAGACTGAAAAGATTTCTTGAGCATGTACTACGTGTCAGGCCCTCTGCTGGGCAATAAGAACAGAGCAAACAATATAGACATAGTTTCTCCATTAACAGGGCTTTGGGTCCAGTGGAAAAGACAGACATTGAACCTAAAATTATAAGACACCTTAACAAGACAGAGGGAGAGGGGGCTACAGGAGTCTTTAGAAGGTGATTTCATGTAGTCTAGTGGGCTCAGGAATGTCAGGAAAAGCTTCGCTCAGGAAGTGACATATAAACTGAATTCTAAAACTCTATGAGTGACATATACCTAGAAGAATGGTTTTAAAAACAAAAGAACTTATTAGAGAACTAAATATAGTGAATCTCCTATATATGAATGAGTTCCATTCTGAGAGCTTGTCCGTAAGTCCAGTCTGTTCGCATGGCACCCCACTCCAGTGTTCTTGCCTGGAGAACCCCATGGACAGAGGAGCCTGGGGGACTACAGTCCATGGGGCTGCAAAGAGTCAGACACGACTGAAGCGACTTAGCATGCCCGCACCAACAAAGTTAGACTAGGTACCCAACTCAATAGAGTACTATATTGTAACAGTTTTATAATACTTTCCACACAAGTAATACACAAAAAACAAGCACACACAAAAAATAAAACATTTTTAATCTTACAGTATTGTACCTTTAAAAGTACAGTAGCATAGTCCAACAGCTGGCCTACAAGGGCACATTTGTAACTTTGAAAGCTTGCAACTTGAAGGTTCACATGTAGGGGCTTACTGTACTGTTAACTCCCAGTAGACATTATACGAGACTGTCCAGGAATCAGTGTGAATATTTGTGTTTGCAGGACACACACATACACACACACAGAGTCTGCAGCATGGTTCATGCACAACAGATGCCTCCAGGTTACCTGCTCTCAGGGAGGGCATCCTGTTTCAGTTGAAAGTTCTCATTTACAGCTATCTCGTGAGCAAGAGTCATGTTTGACAAGTTCCTTGCTGCAGCCATCACTTCGTCAAATGTCACAACCCTGGGAGGGCTCGTTGCTGAAAAGAAAACAAAAACCAATTAACGCCATAGAAGAGGAGTTGCCGACTAGTGATGCACACTAGTGACACGTTCTGACGAACACAAGGCTTACGCTACTCCAGCGCGTTATTTTCAAGGTTTTACAAGTAAGAAGAATGTATACTAAAGCAGGCAGATTCCCATGCTTGATACTTACGGCTTCAAAAATTTAGAAATTCCTTTGATAGCTTCAGTTACTGTATTGATAATAAACTGTCAAATGTTTCTTAGGAATTTTTTTTTAATATAGGCTATTACAAGTTACTTTTAAAAATTAAGTTGCTTCATTTTTCAGCACATACTGCTATCTGCATCTATTACATGTACTCTACAGGAAACTGATGACTACTTTTTATACTGTAATTCATAACATTAATTTAAGGTGGCTCACTGTGAACTAACTGATTTTTTTTTAAAACTACAATATCTAAAAGTATACGCAGTATAGCACAATTCTAAGTTTTGCTAATTGGTGGTTACCATTTGACTTCACTGAAGCATAACTTAACCTGCTTGAAGGACTGTCCTGAAGTGATTAAACAAGATAATTTAAGTAAGGAACATGGCAAAAATTCCATAAATGTAGATAATTAAAATAAATCTGATAAGTTGATCATCTACTTCTCAGTAGGCAATAGGGAGTAAAGAATTATTTCAGTTATTTGAAAAAGATTATTCAAAAATTATTCTAGTAAGTCATGTCTTTTTGAAATCATTCCTGGAACTCTCAGCTTCTGTTAATTAAAAACCATTGCCTTAAATAATGCTGACTGCCACCAATGCTTTGCTATCTAAAATAATTTCAGAAATGAGAAGACAAGGAGATGGTAGAGAAGAGGGAGATGGAAGAGGAAGAAGAGGAGGAGGAAGGAATGGTGGTACGCAATTAGTAAAATCCTTTTTCAGGACACCTAGGTGCCCTGCTGGAGACATCAATCCTGTATATAGTATAAAGAATGAGAAAAAGCACTGAAAGCTGGGTGGCTGCTAATAAATTCTTTTGCCAATTCTCTTCCCCATTAACATTCTCCTTGAAAATGTCTGTACCCTTTAGTCCAGGAATCTAATTATACAAAAGGAATTCCTCGAAAGGCTATATGTACCACAATGTTCATAATGCACTATTTGTTATGCAAAAAAAAAGGAAATGAACTAAATGCCCCATGATAAACAGAAGTTAAATAAACTGGTGGTGTATTCACTTGATAAAGTAATAAGTAGTCATAAAAATGTTTAAAAAACATTATCATGAGTAAGTGTTTTAGTTATAATAGTAAGCAAAAAAAGGACATGGATACGTGCACATGTATGTCTATGTGAAGAATGAAAATACAACAAAGCACTGTCACAGCTGTCATCTTTGGGTGACGTTACAGGCAATATTTTCTTTTCTATCAACTTTTCCATGTTTTGAAAAATGAGAATGTACTAACTTAAATACAGATAAACAAGTTTTTTTCCAAAGGAGGCATTTGATCATATTAAATGTTAGTTGCTTCTCTCTTGCATTTGCACTGACAACTTAAGGGGTTATATTTTCTATATAAAATGTCAATTAAAAAGCTAAAATAAATAAATGAAAGACAAATACACTGCTTTGCACATCTCTAGTGTCCACACACAAAAAAGGAAAAAGATATCTCCCTCACCATGGCCATGTTTTAACTCTCACATCCCTAGTGTAGTAACTCTCCTCATGGGCACCCCTTTGCTGGGGTGATTTGCACAACGGTTTTTGAAATCAGCAGGAAACCCATTAGATTATTTCACTTCCTGCCTGACCCTTGAGTTGGGGCAAGTTTCCTTCCATGTAAATCAGAAAGGACCGATTTGAATTCTTCCTTGAATGTGACTCAAAAAAAGATCTTGAGTAGTTTTCCACCAAGTGAGAGAGAAGACAGGGCTGGGTTGGAAGACCTGATTTACAGTCAAACCAGAGATCAGAGACAGTGATGAAAATAAAAACAGACAGACTGTAAACTTCAGTTCAGTTCAGTTGCTCAGTCCTGTCTGACTCTTTGAGATCCTATGGACTCATAGGGAACCATGCCAGGCTTCCCTGTCCATCATCAACTCCTGCAGCTTACTCAAACTCATGTCCATCGAGTCAGTGATGCCATCCAACCATCTCATCCTCTGTCGTCCCCTTCTCCTCCTGCCTTCAGTCTTTCCCAGCATCAGGGTCTTTTCCAATGAGTCAACTCTTTGCATCAGGTGGCCAAAGTATTGGAGTTTCAGCTTCAACATCAGCCCTTCCAATGAATATTCAGGACTGATTTCCTTTAGGATGGACTGGTTGGATCTCCTTGCAGTCCAAGGGACTCTCAAGAGTCTTCTCCAACACCACAGTTCAAAAGCATCAGTTCTTTGGTGCTCAGCTTTCTTTATGGTCCAGCTCTCACATCCATACGTGACTACTGAAAAAACCATAGCTTTGACTAGATGGACCTTTGTTGGCAAAGTACTGTCTCTGCTTTTTAATATTCAGTGTGTACTGAATATTGAGAGTGTGTACAAGACAGCTGGGGTGCCCTTCCAGTGACATTCCAGTATGTCTAGAAAGGAGGGGAAGTCAGGACTTTGCTCTCACTCAAACATGCATCTAGGGACTTCCCTCGTGGTCCAGTGGGTAAGACTCCATGCTCCCAATGCAGGGGGCCCGGGTTTGATCCCTGGTCAGGGAACTAGATCCCACATGCCACAACTAAGAGTTCGCATGCTGTAACTAAAAATTAGGGGCTGCAGGCTGCAACTGAGACCTGGCCCAGTCAGATAAATAAATAAAAATTTTTTAAAATATTGATTAAAAGAAAAAACAAACATGTGTGTCTAGAATCAAGCCCAACACCCCCCAGGCTCTGCTCCCTGTCGGCTTACAGGCAGGAGAGCTGGATTTGCTGGAGGAGTCACTTGTGAAGCTCTGCCTGGAGCACTCGTAGTCACTGAGAGAAGCCATGCTCTCGGAAAACCGGGAAGAGTCGGAATCGCTTGGCTGGTCCTCGCCCACACACTGCTTCTCACCATTGAAGGGCATTTTGTGTCGTGGGAGTGTGGGTAGAGACAGCGCCTGCACAGACAAATAGATCCTGCATCAACCTTCCGCAGTGCTTCCACCAGTGGTGCCCATGCCTCTTCCGGCATAGACAGCCACGTCCTCTGTGTCACAGCACCGGAAAGCCCCCCAGCAGATGACCTCCTCCCTCCCATGGCACCCAGGCCAGCCTGTCACTAGGCCTGCAAGACTGCCTTCAGAAACGGACTCCACAGCCACAGGTGTGGGCTCCCACAGGACATACTCAGTGTGAACATGGAGCAGCTCCCAGCAGGAACAGATCCACGTAAAACAATGTCCAGAGCACATGCTCTCTCCACTGAGGGCTGCTGAAGCGTGGGAGGGAAAGAGTGAGAGTGCGGGGCTCCAGATTAGAAGCTTGTTCTGTCTTTTGCGAGAAGTCACTCAACTTCCTCCCTCTGGAGTAAAGCTGGGCTGAAAGACTCACCTCGTGGGATTGCTTGAAGATGAAACAGGATCCACCTTATTAAAGTGCTCAGCACAGCATTCATGTGTCAGCTAGCACTATCCCTCTGTCTTTGTCTTAGGTAAATTATTTTTGAAATCAGTCTCTTTAGTGGTCTGTGAGTCTCCTGGGGACAAGGAGCTACTAAGTAACATCTCTGGCTGCCAAGTCCATAGGTTTTCCTTGTCCATTTTGTCACAAACTGCCATGCTATGAAGCACAAGGCCCAAACTTTGGTTTGTACTTGATAATTTACCAAGTACCCACAGCCACCCAATGAACAAGCAGGCACAAAGACGCTGGTTCACAGGGAGACTTGCTGTGCTACAGAGCCAGTCCCGGGACTCCACATCCAGGGCTGTTTCTGACACGTCAGATTCCTTCCCAGAGAAGGGCAAGGCAGCGGGCCCAGTCACCCCCCGGAAAGGAGACCTGGGGTACGCTGGATGCTCAGACCAGAACTCAGGCTCCTCAGCCAGGCCGGTGAAGGAGCTGGCCCTGATACCTGAGTGGGGCACTAGCTGATGCTGAGGGGAAACCCAGGCCCGAGGAGAAAGGCACCTCAGATCCTGAATGGACGGTAATGACAGAGCTCACCGAGTGTCTTTAAACCTGAACCAGCAATGAGGTTCTCTGAGCTTTTAAAACTGTCAGAACATGACACCACAACTACCCACAGAATGCCTGGAAATGCCTGAAGTTCCTTCAATGGTCCCTTTCAAACGTACTAGGCGCCTACTGTGCACCAAGCCCAGGGGAAAGTAACAGTGAACAAAATACGCAAGGCCATCCTCTCACGGCGCTCAGGTCCAGTCACCTAAAGCTGTGTGTCAGATGCTGGAGGGCAGGAAGGGGACACCAGGCACTGCTGAGGGAGCACCAGAAAGGAGAGGCAGGCTGGGGGCCGGGTGGAGGGGCCGAGCCTCTGCTCAGAGAAACAGGGCTGTTTTTTTATCCTCTGGGTGATGACAGAGAAATGGATGGGCCTAAGAGGGTCTTACTGAAGGTCAGAAGTCAAGGGCACTGTCCCTTGCCTCACCCAAGCAACCTCTACAGTCGTGCCACTTGTAGAAACGCACCCTTGCTCAGCCCTCCGCTTTCGCAAACAGAAAAGCACCAACTCAGAGGCTGCCTCTGCAGACTGACGGGGAGGGAGTGAGGTGGTGCTGGAGCTGCCAGGAAGCTTCCCCATAGAGACGCTACTCCCAGAGATCAAAGCAAACAGCTTGGACATAGGCTACAGAAGGCCTGACCCCTGGCATTCTCAGTGGTGGGCTCACCCCCTTGACCCCAGGCAAACTAGCTTTGCGCTTTAACTCCCATCTAATAGAAGGGGCTGTGGGTGTGGATGGGGCTAGAGCAAGAAGAAAATGGTCCACTCTAACCCTTTCAATTCCACCAAACCCCACGTCCCAGATGGAGTGCTTGCCCTTCCCTCTGGCTTTCTCTCTTTGCCAACGTTTACTTCTCATGGATGCCATTTCTCGAAAACGCTGGTTTTCGAGGAAAGGAAACCAGGAAGTCCTCCCTCTACGCCTGGCCAGAGCTAAGGGCACTCTTCTCTCTCCACCTGCAGCACATCTCCGGTATCTGCCCCAAAACACTTAGACTCTCGTAGTTATTTTCCTCCCCTGGCTACTTCTTTTTTTCTTCTTCTTTTTTTCCATTTATTTTTATTAGTTGGAGGCTAATTACAATATTGTAGTGGTTTTTGCCATACCCCTGGCTACTTCTGACTCCCCTTGCTAAGGCAGGAACTGTGTCTCGTCCACCATCAGGGTCAAGTGTGTGACAAGCATTCATTTGGTGTCAGCTGAATCGGAATCCCAGAATCCCATCTGGTACAATTGCAACCAGAATATTTGCAAACTGATACTCCACATTTACAGACCTGCTGCTATCACAGGTTAAGGCCTGGAGCGAAGAACCTACCACCTCTACCTGCCTTATGAGGCTTAGGACTCAATATTCCCTGGTCCTGTCATACTCTTAAACTAGAATACCTTAAGCTCTACTTCCACTTTATTATTTCTTTCATTCATTCAACTGTGACAACTGTGCCATGATGTTCTGAGATCATTTCTCTTCACTTTGGCTATTTTTCTAGGTAAAAGTGAATAAAAACTTTTCATCCATTGGAATTTATGAACTAGGTTAATAGCTAAAACTGTCCATTTCACTTTTATACTCCAGCTGAACAGCACACCTCATAGGTTTCTTAATTGTGTTTAACAAGGCAGCTAAGTACAAAGATTTTTTAAAAAATGAAAAGCTCCAGGTTGGGAGGTAGAAGTCCTGGGTGTGAGGCCTCACTCTGCTGTTGATTTGCTGTATGACTTCACCCACAATGCATCTGCTCTCTTCACCTCATTTTTCTGAGGGGGTTGGGCCAGCTATCAGGTGCCTTTTATGAGGAACTGCTAAAATGCTATATAGACCCAGAGTTCTGTGAAGCATCACATCACTAGAAGTTGAGAAATCAAATGTTTCATGGCAGACATGCTCAATAACATGCAACTATGCTTTCTTCCAGGCTCCTCAGCTGGCTCAGTGGGTAAAGAATCTGCCTGCAATGCAGGAGATGCAGGAACCGAGTGTTCAATCCCTGGGTTGGGAAGATATCCTAGAGGAGGAAATGGCAACCCACTCCAATATTCTGGCCTGGAAAATCCCATGAACAGAGGAGCCTGGCGGGCTACAGTCCACGGGGTGGCAAAAAGTTGGACACAACTGAAGTGACTGAGCATAGCACATACACAGCCTGCTTTCTTCCAACAATTCACTGGAGTAGAGTTTCTGGCATGGGGGATGTAAAGAAAATGTAAAAGCATCAAAATGTTCTGAAATCCTGTTTAATTGGTAGAAGCCTCTACATGACAACTGGGTTTTCATGGATCTGAACAGAAACTTTTCTTTGAGGCCAAAAGAAATGGCCTGCATTCTCAGATTAATAATACCTAACACATAGGGTTGGTGAGAGATTTCACTCAGGCAGTATATATTGGAACAATGTCTGAAACAGAGTAAACAGGATACAGATGTTTGCTGTTGTCTGTATTATTTGCTTTGGTAGCTATTATTTTCATCATTTTAGGCATTAGAAACTCTGGAAGGAAGAATAGTTTCATTCCATGGTGATAAAAGCATGTTCCCCTACAGATAACAAAGACTGGGAGTTGACCTAGGATAGAACTCTTGCATTTGTTTAAAATACAAAAATCAAAAGCAAATGGTGCATCATGGTAGAAACAGTCTTATGCAAGTTTCTTCACACTTGCTCTTACCTTTCCTGGTCTTAGGTGTCCATATAGGTCATCTGGGGAAAAAGCTACTTGACTCAAAAGCATTAAGGGTAATTAGACTGCTTTTAAAGCTATTTTGGATTCTCTCTTAGAATAGTGACAACAAAAGCAGGTTGTTTCTTTAAGAAATGTAATGCTTCTAATACCAACAAACTAGATCTACTTGACCTTCACCAGTGCAACTCACAAACAAACCAGACAACTTTCCGGGAATACCACATCTCATCCCACATGGGAGGATTTACTCAGTGGCCAAAGGTAAAGTCAATGTGAAGAGAGGAGGTAACACCAAAACAAAGCCTCCAGCACTACGGTGTATCACTATTCAAAGAGATTAATCACATTTTTCATTGTACTGTTCCACATTTTATAGTAATAAAGGCAATATAATCATTCCATCCAAGGTCAATGACTGGGAGGCAGGAGGCACTTAAATATGCATTGTGGAATTAATAGCCATATGACCACTGGCATTTTAGAGAAGAGGGAACAAGTTACAGAGACCTGAAGGGGCTCATCCTGCATTTTGCCACATACAAGGGGGAAATCAGTTTTTAATTTGCCCATGATCCTCAGGCTGTGTCCAGATAACTGACTTTACTTCCTTATTTTCTTTCTGCAGCAAAATCTACCTGCAAATGATCCTGCACTGGTTCAGAACTGCAAAGATCCACCAGTCACCATGCACATGTCACCAAGGCAGTAAGGACATTGGCTCTGGAGCCAGGAGGACTGGATTCTTAATCTCAACTCATGATACTTAGAGACTGGAGACAGGGAACTTACCCTTGATGAATTGGCGACAGCAGTATTATCTACCTTATAGAATTGTTGTAATGGAAATAGTCTATGTATTTAAACTCCTACTAAGTGCTTGACAGATATGAAATATTATTTTATTCTTATTAGAAATTATGAATTTTTAAAACATGTCAGTGTCATAAAAAACAAAGAAAGGTTGAGGATAATGAAAGGGGACTTGACAACTGAGTGCAGTAGATGATCCCAGATTGTATCCTGTACCAAATTAAAAAATGCTGTAACAAACATTATTGCATCAGTTGACAACACGGTTACAATACTTGAATCTACTGTCTGTATTATAATGTCAAATTTCCTGAAGTTGATACATGTGCTGTGATTATGCATTGAGGAATAAAGGCCTATGATATATGCAACTTTCTCTCCAATGATTCAAGTGAGAGAAAAAGAGA